AGGCAATGTCTGGTCAAAGTTTTTCGATAACCCAGCTCCGGATCAATTTACCGCTTCAAGTGAATTTCAATTTACTGTTATTGTCATACAGCGTAATCGTTGAGTGGGTGTTTCTTTTTTGTATGGGCGTGGCACAGGATGTTGGCTAAAATCGATTCCAGTTCCAACAAAATGACAAAAAATAATGTCTTAGAAGTCAGTAAATAAATAAATAACTTATAGGCAAACTGTGGATGGCCATTAACAACAGAACTGATCCAAGACATCAGAGGATCATTAAGTTCCCTGTCCTCGTCCCATTGCTTATACGCCACGTTGTTTATACTCCGCGCTTCCCACACGCCACGTTACCCATACGCCACGTTAGCCATACGCCGCGTAAACAGCCAGTGAAAATCGACAAAAGAGAGTAAAGACGCTCCCAGACTTTTAAGCAGCTCTTCCACCATTTGGTGTAATACATATTGGTCATGGTATGCTAGTGCTCGATATCGAGGGCATAAATATTCATGCAGCACATTTGGAAAAAAGAAGACAGCTGATAAAGCCTGCCACCCACTCAGTGAAAAATCTAAAAAAAAAAATGGTTGAAAAGGGGAGCTGAATCCTCTCTATACTTATACATGTATATGCTGGATTTTGTGCGCTGACTGCGGGCCTAAGATAACTTCAGTCACATATCCTTGGCCTTGTTCCGCTCCCTAGTCCTTGTCCTTTCCCGAAAGCAATAAATTATGTATTCCGCACATTTTTAAGCGCAGCAATCCATCGAAATGGCTCGATCCTATGTTGGCCAGGAATTCACGGAAATGGGAATTATTTTTCAAATAATTCACGATGCCATTCCTTCTCTTTCCATTCTGGGAATCAATTTGTTTGCAACCGTCCGCGAAACAAGTTTAAGTAACATATAAAGTGCGATTGCACAGCCATTTGTTGCACTGTCCAATATTCAGCAACAGTTGCCAGACATATGAAACATAAAACTTTGCCTCATTAGAGTGACTCTCAGCCTCTGTTCTGCGAATGATTTATGATGCCCAGCATTGTCTCATGTACCACAGGCCGAAAAACAAACCCTTAGCTGCCCCATTTGCCAGCTCTTTTTTTATTGAAATACTTGAGGCGGAGTACAACTTCAATAAAGTGGAAAAAGGTGCCATAAACAACAAGCGGCGGGCCTTTTTTTACGACACAACCCGCTGTGTGCGGAAGCAGATACTTCTCTAAACAAAGGCAGAAAATAAATAAGTAAAAAGCGGGAGGGGAAAAACAATTGTAAACAGTGAAAAAGGAAAAATCCCCTTAACTGTGGCACAAATTTTTCATTTATTTATTGAGACGAGACAGGAAGAGACAGGGCAGCAAAAGACGAGGGTCAGGTGGAGGTGGGGGGGAAAAGTGAAATTCACTTTCGCATTTTCCTTATTCCACTTGTTTTTTTGGTTGCCTTTCGCCGTTTAAATGAATCGGACAATTCAATTTATGCTCTGCCAGACAGACAAACTTCATTAGGACCTCTTCCCATTTCACATCCTTTGAATCAATAACAAGAGAGAACGCTATAGTCGGGTGCCCCGACTATCAGATACCCGTTACTCAGGTATAGGGAGTGCGAGGGAGATGGAGATAGAAACTTTGATCACGCATAACTTTTTAACGAATGGTCCGATTTGAAAAATTTCTTCTACATTTCGATAGGTATTGATAAACACAATAAAACTGCATTTTTACTTTTCCGAAATATTTAAATTTTTAAAATCGTATTTAAGCGATTGTGGGCGTTAAAGGGGGCGTGGCACCTTTTTGAAACAAACTTGCGCTGCGTAGGAACTCCTAGAATCTGCATGCAAAATGCCAATCTTCTAGCTTTTATAGTTTCCGAGATCTCAGCGTTCATACGGACAGACAGACGGACAGACGGACAGACGGACAGACGGACAGACAGACGGACAGACGGACATGGCTAGATCGACTCGGCTAGTGATCCTGATCAAGAATATATATACTTTATAGGGTCGGAAACGCTTCCTTCTAGCTGTTACATACTTTTGCACGAATACAATATACCCTTTTACTCTACGAGTAACGGGTATAAAAATATTTCATGTTTTATTGTTTTATTTTCGGGTTTGTTTTGTGTGAAAGTGAATCAAGATTTCCCCAAAAATTCAGGAATCAAATAAAAATATTTCACGTAATACGTTTTTTCTTTGTTAAATTCAACATTAAATTGGCTAAATATTTAACGTTTAGTCTATAGATTAATTTTACGAAATACATTCGCACAAAAGAAAGTAGAGAGGATATTGGAAAACGGGAACTATCAGAAAACTTTTAATGCGCCAAATCGATGAATGACCGCAGAAACTTTTCCCCTATTTCCCTTGGACACTTCCCAAGTACATGGCAACTTTTCTAGCACTAAGCTTTTGGCCTGTAAATGAGCTTGGGGACGGTTGTCCTGGAAGCGAAGAAGGACCTGCATTGTTACCAAACTTTGTCGAGGTTAGTTCTCGGTGTCTGTATGGAAAGTTTTCGATGTATTTGCTTTGGCTTAAGTCGGCTGACTTTGTCACTTTTGTTGTCGCCACTTGGGAACCTCAATTTGTGATAGCCCCCACGCCCTGAAATCAAAGCGTTGCAATGGAGTTTAATAAATATTTGTGAAAAGTCAGATAGACGACTGCCTTGCCAGCAGGTGTGCCATTCATTATCGCGCGAGGTGTCGCCAGATTTTCTGCCCTGGCGGCAGCAAAAGCACTTTAAATGAATTGCATAATCTGCTGGGAGCTGTCCCCCACCCACCTGTACTAACGGGAATTAAGAGCCTGTCTGGCAGGGACACACCACTTTCCCGCCCACTCGCAACACCCCAAAAGCCATACCACTCTTGCACCACGTTGTCGCGACGCGGCAGACTGTAAATAATGAAGTTTGCATCTGGGTGGCAAGTGGCAAAGCAGCTGCGAAATGTGCTCTTAGGCACAGGAACAAAAAATTCATACATTTATTTAGATATATATACTCAAACAAATTGTTGGCCAAAGATCAACAGCAAGTTTAGTATTTCTGGTCAAAAAAATTGGCCATTCAGAACATGCTAGTGGCGCAGCAATTCGATTTATTTCCTGTACGATTTATTTGTTCTGCACTTTTTGTATAAGTTTTATGATTTGCTTATACAAATTCTAACTAAAGCACAAAAACAATTTTATTTGAAGTATTATTTTCTGTTCGTGTTGATATCAAGTACTTCTTGCTATTCATTTTTTTGAATTCCCACTTTTTCTTTATGTGTAATAACAAAAAACCAATTGCTTGTGAAGAATGTTTGTTTGTGCGATAACTCAGGATAATGTTCTTAATTTTGTGTGTAATTTTCTGGTGATGACAAATTATTTATGTATTGAGCCATAAATAATTTGTCATCATTTAAAAATTTAGTTAAAGCTTAAACTACAGGTGAATAGTTCCCAAATATACTACAATTTACTTAAGACCACTTCGCGATTTTATTATAATTGATTCACTGATTTCATTTGACTTTCGATAATGCTTTTGCTCATTAAGTCGAGACTAAATCAAATCGAAAGCCGACTTATTCCCACACCAGATTCTGGCCAACTAATTCCCCGTCTCAGCCCTTTTTAATGTTCTTTTTTGGGCGCTAAATGCCGCTGTCTAGGTAAATACGCCCCAGAACGTTTTCGTTATTCAAGCTCACAGTGTTCATTTCCCATTTCCCGGTTTCCCGGGTCTCCAAACTCAAAACGCAGAACGTGATGCGCATTTTTCGCACTGCGGCTGCTGTGTGTCTGAGTCCCCTGGGTTTTGGCTTCCACTTTGGGTTTGGGGTTCGGTTTGGGTTTGGGGTTTACCGGGGGCTACAGTTTTGCGCTTGAGTTTGGGACTGCCACAAAAGTTGCGCTTAAGTTTATGGCAAACGACTCCCGGCCTGGTGGGGCCAAAACTTCACCCAGCGGAGCGGGCAAAGATCCTCTTAAAGTTGTTACGAACCGAATGCAGATGTCATTCAAAGGAATTCGTTTGAATTAAGCGCCAAATTGTCTGCACTCTTGTAGGACCTTACAAAAGGCAGTTTTAGAAAACGTTTTGCGGAAAAATACATCAAGTTTTAAGTGAATTTCGAAAGAGAGGACGCGAAAAAAACTAGATATTTCGTTTATATTTTTAATAATATTTTAGTGACCTTTACGGTAATGTCTATTATTATGCAATGGAGTTATTTTAAAATTAAATTTAAGTTCTACAAAGAGGAATTACATTGACTACTTCACTTTTTTTCCCCCTTTTAGGTAATGCACCTATTTTAAACAGTCTAATACTAACTTAAAACATCAGCTATTAAAAAATATATCTAAAACTTATTCGGTATTTTTATGAACACTTGTACATTTTCTTTTTTTGTTAGAACAATTCATATTAATTAGATTTATAATTAAAAATAGTCAAATATTTTTTTTTCCTACTGCCTTATAATATCGTCACTTTGTGGCTGTTAGTCAATGTATATATTTTCTCAACAGTGCCTTACAACACATTCTGCTGTCAATTGTTTCACAAAGCCAAACCAACTTCATCAAGAGTTCCTTTTATCTTTTACTTACATTTTCATCACATCAGCCAAACCATTTCTTTTCATCCCGGCGAATGATGATGTAATATTTTAAACATTTTCTAGCCCTGTAAAGATACTTTCTGGTGCATATAATAGCGAAAAGTCATAAAATAAAATAAGCATAAAATGGCGGAAAAACTATTTCCACTAAAGTATAAAACAAAAGCCAAAGCGGAAGCCGTAGGAACATAAAAATCACATTTATTTTCGACACATTTAACCATTCGAGCGTTAAAAGTTTGAAAGCCATGCTTTGCAGAAATATACATATATGTTATATACATTTATGGAAATATTCTATCGAAGCCATTATCTTCAGCAGTTATGTAAAATTGATATCAAACATTTACACTTGCAGCATCAACTTGCAAATTTGGGGAATTCCGCTGCGGTTCCGGAAGTTGCATTCCGCGTTTTTGGACCTGCGATCAGGAAAACGACTGTGCCGATGGCAGCGACGAATCGCGGGATCTCTGCCGTAAGTGTAAACCATTATTTTTAATATAGGCAGTATGTATCAAGGGTATGCGATAGAAAATGTAATAATAGCAATGCAAAAATAGATTGAAAACAAATCCTGAACTTAATGCAGGAATTAAAATTAAATGGGTTGAGTATAGCTTTTTCAAAAAAAAAAAACCGTACATAATTTAGAATAATATCTTAACTGTCTGAATACACAGAAAAAGGATAGAATTCACAAAATTTTAATTAAATTTACAAAAATAGTTTTCTCAAATGTTCAAAAATTCATCTAAGAATGTTTTTAGTGCAAATTAATTTAATATAAGGAATATTTTTTTTACAAAATGATAACTAACTAAATTAATTAACAATATACATTACTATTTTATTGGCACTTTATTGGCACTTTAAAGAATTTAAAAATTGGCCAACTTCTAACTTTGCTTAAAGCGGATGTCTACTTTAAAAGTTATTTTCAAATAGACTTAATTTATTAAATATATAATATTTTGTCCAGCGGACACATGCTCCCTTTCGCAAACTATGTGTAAAAATGGTGAGCAATGTATATTCCGGGATTTCATCTGTGATGGCGATAAGGACTGTCGCGACGGGTCCGACGAATTGGAATGTGGCAGTAAGCGAAAAGAATGAATTATTCCTTCTCACATTAACATACTAACTGGAGGATTTGCCCATCACTAAAACGAGCGGAGTCGCTTAATCGAAATTTAAATGCATGCCCCATGAAGGATCCAGGGGCCTAAAAGACTTTATGCCTTGCCTGGGGCAGACCAGGACCTAAATTAATGTCACTCCTTGCGGACAATATCGCGACGTGACCATCGGCGGAACTAATTTGTATTTATGCATTAGACGCACTTCTTTTCTTTTTGGGCGTAGTTCCCGCTCTTCACTTTATTCGTCGCATTTTCTTGCACAGTAACTTGTTTAGTGGTTTATTGTCTGTGACACAATTTCCCAACTATATAATAGAGTCTGTGGTGAAGGAGAAAATGAAGAGGAGCGAAAATGTTTTTGTGTTGAAGGGGATTTCAGCAATGTAATTGAAAAAATTATGCGATTTTTATGTTGTTATCCTTGATGAAAATAAAAACCGGTAATCAAAAAGCAAATTGTGCCTGTGGTTTATATGCTCCGATTCGTGGCTCACTGGTTGCCTTTCAGGCAGCCAGGACCTACAACTGCGTTCACAACAATAGTGGCTTGCAGAGGAATATATATGCCGAAATAAATATATATTTCGTATTAAAATAAAGTTTTATTAAGTTGAATAAATCGCGTAAAGGTTGAAATAGAATCCTTAATTTAAAAAAACCTTCTTTTTTTCGTTTCTTAGTAAGTTAATGCAATGATACTTGAAGATTTATTGGAAAATCAAAATAATTGATTGTTATTTTTAAACATAAGAAAATAAAGAGGGAATTTACTTTTTAATTGATAACAATTGCTTTCTGGGCGTTTCTAAAGCTACGTCTGCGTATGTGAGTGGATAAGAGTGCCTTTTTATGACTTTTATGAGCTTTAAAATTGTCGTCAAACCTTGTCGTTATTTCAGCGTTCACCCACTTACACTTGTGAGTCTTCAATTTACTTGGTTTGGAGGACAAGAATAACTCTTTTTAATATGGACATTTTCAGTTAAGGTCCCCGCCCCGTTATTTAATTCCATTTAACACTCCACTCGGACTCTTCATATCTTTGTTTACCACTATGGGGAAAACTCGGCTTGCCGTTAAACAAAGGAGCAAAGGAGGGAGAACTGAACAATAAACAAAACGCAAACTGCCCCACAAAGGCATTAAGCTTCATTGGCTTTCCAGTGTCGGGGAGTTGGGGGCAGCACGGGAGGCGAGGCAAGCTGCACTCGACCAGGACATGTCTTGTACATGGTCTAAAAAGCATTTTAAATAAAATTAAAATCAAATTGCAAGTATACGGGACTTGGCGTCAGATAACAAGAAAATGCTATTGAATACAATGCGATGATGTGTGCGTATGGGAAGGAGTGGAGCAGGACCCTTGGTGGTCCATTGACTGTGACCCCACGACAGCAAATTGATTCTGCCACGACTCACAAAAGCCGAAGCCGAGAAAGAAGCTGAGTCCCCATGGACACACGAGAATGAAACGTCCATTCAGCCAAGTAGTTACCTTCGAATGGATAAAAATGGAAAGTTTTATATGTACATAAAAGCCCCCTGGTGAATGTTTTCCTTGCCAGCGATGGGAAATTTAATGAAGCCATAAATTATGGTTGGCAAAATGATATTGGATAATTTAATATATATCAGGTGCATGAAATAATCGAAAAGTAATTTCAAGTGACCATGGATGACGTTGAATACAATTGAGAAAACACAAAATTTAGCATTGGGTTTATAGAAAAAATGTAACTGTATATTTTTAAAGTGTACACAATATTAAACTTGGATAAGGTTAAGGGTGATGTTAAATTTGAATTAACCTTAATTTAATTTAAAAAGAAATTGCAAAACTCAAACAAATTATCGGAATTTTGGCGCAGGCATTTTGGCAATTTCAGTAAATATTCAGCAAGCGAACGACGAATAAATTCAGTAAGCTGGTCACAATAAATTCCAATTAAAGGCATATCACGCATACGACGCGTTGTACATGCTAAGCAACCGCCAAAAATGGCGAATACCAAGAAGAAAATAATAATAAATTAATTTATTTGCAACGATGTCAGAAATTTCCGCCGTACGCCATGCACGTGTAAACGGTAAACAAAAAGACAGGACGAAGGACGAAAAAGAGGAGGGGAAGGAAGAAGAGGAAGAGGTAGACAAAACGCCAAAAAGCATATTCAAATATGTGGCACAACCATAAGATTTTATTGCTATTACACACACACATTCTCAGCGGGGATGTAGGTACATAATCATATCAGCGAAAATCACACAACACACAGCGTGAAACAAAGGACAATAAAAGAGAGAAAGAAAGCGAAAGAAAGCTCGAAAGCAAGGCCCGAAGAACTGGCATACTAATACGCATTAAGGGTTAAACACAAGCGTTTTAATGTTCTTGCTGTGTGTGTGTTTGTGTGTGTGTGTGGCTGTGGGAGTGTTGTCAGCTTTGTTTAATGTCCGCTCCTTTGGCAAGGATAACTTCAATGGAAGTCTGTGACTGCGGGTGTGGGCGATAATTGCTTTAATGCATACGCATGTGTGCGTTTTAACTTTATGGAGTGTTGGCTGATAATGTCTTAATTACTGCCTAGATAAAATGCCAACTGTTTAGCCCCCGAATGGTTGTGCCTGTGTGTTGGCATGACAACTATGTTTACTACTTGAAGAACCGCCTTTATACGGCAGCTGCTTATAAACTTAATTACCGAAGGGACCTCGGCTGCCTAGTTGAGGTCGCGCTTCCTGTCTCAGCGAGATAAAATCCCATTAGCCAGGCAGTTTGAAGGATTTATAAGACCCTTTACGACTATGGTTCCAAATGCTAAATACAAAATAACTATAGAAACATTTTTGACTGGATAATATTATTATTAATTATGTAATTAATTTTCGAATAATTTAAGAAATTGAAATGAGCACAACAACTAAGGACATTTAGTATTTTTTTTTGAACCTGAACTGGCATAAGAGTGGTTATTGTTTCTCGATTTTGCATTATTTTAAAATTTTGGAGCTTAAAACCACAAATATTTTGATCTGTTCTTTTTTAGGAAACAAAACTTGTTCGCCCGAGCAGTTTGCCTGCAAGTCGGGCGAGGGCGAGTGTATTCCCTTGGCCTGGATGTGCGATCAACACAAAGATTGCCATGATGGAAGTGATGAGGCTCAGTGCAGTAAGCCATAACCGAATATTCCTAAGCCTTTTCTCTGTTTTTGCTTGGTGTTGGCTGCTATAATAACCGAATTTATTTTCGATTTTTCCCTGATTTTGCTTGGTTTTAGTTGCAATTTATTTCTATATTTTATATTGTAGAATTCCATACACTTGTCTTTACTATGCACACATTTCTCTGAGCATTGTGCTAAAACTCGTATGCAATAAACCACAAATATTAACGCACACACACAGATGAGAACTCTTTAGTTTCCTGTGTTTGCGCTGTTTCTTTGTTGTCACTTTCACATCTCTCCCATTTTCTATATGCTTCTTCTAGTTTGTCTGAAATTTTTGTTATGGTTTCGGCTTTCCCCTCATACCATCCACCCACTAATAAAAATCATTAAATCCTCCACAAAATCCCTTAAAAGAATCCAGCTAATCATCGGAATCTTTGTGCAGATAGGACGTGTCGGTCAGACGAGTTCACCTGTGGCAACGGACGTTGCATACAACGTCAGTATGTGTGCGACGAAGACAACGATTGCGGCGATGGATCGGATGAGAAGAACTGCGAGCAAAATCGGAAATGCCCCGAAAGTGCCTTTACCTGTCTAAGTGGCATGTGCATTACCAAGGAATGGGTTTGCGACGGGGACATTGATTGCCATGGTGGCGAGGATGAGGTGAGTTCCCAAACAAATAATATTGATATTAATATTTATGAGCAAATAATAAAAATGGATTAGTATTATTTCTATACATGCAGTAAAAAACTAAGTTCAGTTTTCTATTTAACAAATTTGTGCATGCAAAGCATTTAATATTCTAATAAATAAGCCCACAAAAATTTATTTAATATTAGTTAAAACGAAATACCTACTTAAATTAAAATTAAAAAATGATTTAATATCCTATCAGAACATATTTAAATTTTAGGCATACCTGAAACAATATAACCTACATAGTCCCTACATTTCTGTGAAAATACAAATTACTTGTAAACTAAGTTGTAAATATGCATTTGTTATTTCATTAATTCAAATTAAAATTTCAGTTTTATGAATAAGGAATTATAGGTCTAAATTATGTGACAGCTTCTAAAATCTTTAATTTTAACTAGCAATGAAAATTGATATGAGCATATAATCAAACCACCCATACACAATGCACACACAACTGCAAGTGCGAGTGGTTTGATAGCCCTCGCATATAAATATATATTTATATGAAGCGTGCTAGGAAGCATAAATTATGCAAGACGCGAGCATTATTCAAAACTGGCAACGACGACGAGGACGATGTCGGCAACTGTTTCCCATAAACATTTATTTGTATGACGCATGGCTTTTGTTGTCAGTAGGGTGGTCCCGAAATTGCATGGCACCGAAAAGCAATAAAAACAAACGGAAAACTGTCTAAACAAACCGCAGCCTTGATGATCTTCTGGGGTTTTATTTAAAATATAGTCTAAGAAAGCTCAAAAGTTGTAAAAGTTATCAATTTAATTTAATTTGTTTAAATGTAGAGTGTTTGTAGAACTTTTGAGCTATGAAAAAAATTAAAATACATAAACAAATTTTGCTTTGAAAAATCAGTAAAAATAAACTAATATCTACATTAGTCAGATATACTTCTTTTAAAAAAGGGTATAAAATGTGAAAAATGCTTCCTAACATATCCTAAAAGTATGCAACAAAAAATGCAGTCAATGGCACTGAGACCTGTATATATATATATATATATATATATATATATATGTATATATTTATGAGTGTGTATGTGCGTCCTGGTGCATAAGAGCTTTGTGCTGGAGTGTGTTTGTGAACCGGGCTTAGCTGCCTGAATATTTGGTTGGCACTTAACAAGAAAAGCAAACTGTTGTAGCAGCAGTAAAGTTAACTTCCTTTATCCTCGCCACGGGCAGAGATTCATCTTTCAAGAGAATATCTGTTGAAGGACAATATAAACATAAAACTTGAAGTGCCGACTATTACAAATTCCAAAACATATCCATAAAAATATAATTGAAATAATTTAATAATATAATTTCTTTACTATATTTAGCAAAATAGTAATTCGATTCTTAACTGTCAGAATCAGGTGTATTTTTAAAACATTGGAGAGGATATTATAATTTCAGACATAATAAGTCGAAAGGATCAGATCATAGAAACAATCAGAAAAATAAATTTAAAAAAAAATTAATAAGTTATTTTAAAAATTTCCAAAATTACGGCTATAAGTTTCGGAAAATCGGATGATTCATCAGAAAATCGACATAACAAAAATTAAAATATTTAACGTATTAATAATAGAACAGCTGCGTATCCTAATATATAGGTCTTATACCCTATAAACTTCGGTTTGCTTCCTTTTAGTTAATATTCTAGTTTACTTTAAATGATTGGTACAAATTTATTTTATATTTCAATTTAATATTTGACGTTTGAGTTTGATATGCCTATAAGAGTATACGTAATGAATGATTTAAGCTGATTTAAACTCCCAATTTCATCCTTCTTTCAACCCTCTATAGAGAAACTGCAACATTCGTCGATTAAGTCTCTGCCTTGGTCAAGAGTTCGAGTGCTCGGATCGAATCACCTGCCTGAATCAACAGTGGGTGTGCGACGGCGAGGCAGATTGTCCGGACGGCGAGGACGAGTCCGCGGATCGTTGCGGGAGCATGTCCTGTCGTCCGGATCAATTTCAGTGCGACGATCGTAGGTGCATAGCCGGCCACTTAACCTGCAACGGCGACAAGGACTGTGCGGATGGCAGTGATGAGAAGAATTGCGGCATTGTTGCACCAGTGAAAAGTTGTAATGTATCCAGCCAATTTGATTGCGGCGGTGGTCAGTGCATCCCGCTGGCCGCGGTATGCAACCACAGGAAGGACTGCCCGAATGGCGAGGATGAGCCCGCCGGCAAGTGTGCCATCAATGAGTGCCTCATAAACAACGGCGGCTGCATGCACCAGTGTGTCGATATGGAGGTGGGTTACCGCTGCGAATGCAAAGAAGGCTACAAACTGGCCGCCGACAACCGCACCTGCATGGACATCGATGAGTGTGAGACTCCCGGCGTTTGCTCCCAAGGTTGCGTCAATGAGATTGGAGCCTTTAAGTGCGAGTGCGAGGAGGGCTACATCAGGGTCTTGAAGAATCATACCAGGTGCAAGGCCAGCGAAGGACATGCCTCGCTGCTGTTGACCAGACGGCATGACATCCGGAAGATAGCCCTCGACCGCCCGGAAATGACTTCCATAGTGAATAGTACAAAGTCAGCCACAGCTTTGGACTTTGTGTTCCGCACAGGGATGATCTTCTGGAGCGACGTGTCCACGCAAACCATCAACAAGGCCCCAATTGATGAGGGCAGTGAGAGGGCTGTGGTGCTGACCAAATCCTCGGTGACCTCGGATGGCCTGGCTGTGGACTGGATCTACAATCATGTCTACTACACGGACACGAAGCAGTGCACCATCGAACTGACCAACTTCGAGGGCAGCATGGGCAAGGTCCTGGTGAAGGATTCGCTAGACATTCCGCGCTCCATAGCCTTGGATCCCATTGATGGCTGGATGTACTGGTCCGACTGGGGTGCCTCTCCTCGCATCGAAAGGGCGGGCATGGACGGCTCCCACCGCACCACCATCATTAGCTACGATGTCCAGTGGCCCAATGGCATTACTCTGGACCTGGTTCTTAAACGCCTCTACTGGGTGGACGGCAAGCTGAACTCCATCTCATCTTCCAACTACGATGGTTCGCAAAGGCGGCAGGTACTTTACTCCGCCGAATTCCTGAGACATCCCTTCTCGATCACCACCTTCGAGGACTACATCTACTGGACCGACTGGGACAAACAGGCCGTCTTCAAGGCCAACAAGTTTAACGGAGAAGATATTCAGCCTGTTACCGCAACGCATATGGTAAGTCCACTTTACGTTTACCTTACTTTTAAATAATTATTTAATCATTATACTTAATATTATTAAGCTGTTACCACAGCTTGCTTGCTGTCATACTCTAGAGTATTACTTATTTAAAATATGTTGTGTATTCGATTTCAATGCCACATGACGCAAAGTTCTGATAAGTGATGGGGGTCATTAAACAAATAATCTGAACTTTGTAAATCGGCCTGGTATTACTTGTTAGTGACAAGTGCTCCCTTGTACGAAATGTGGACCCATTTATCGAAAAAACGGGAAGTGAAATACAATTTCGGAATTTGTTTCTGTCGTTAAAATATTTCAAGAATTTTAATGCGATTAACAAAAATGACCGTTTGGTAAACAAAATAGTCATTAAATCTTGAAATATAGTTTTGAGTATTCAGTCTTAACAATTTTAATAAATTAGGAAAAAAATAATTGCTGACCCACACAACATTTTTTTTTACAGTTGCAACATCCCATGGTGGTGCACGTGTATCACCCGTTCCGCCAACCGGACGGTGTGAACCACTGTCAGTCGGTCAATGGCCATTGCTCACACCTCTGCCTGCCAGCACCCAGGATTAACGAGCGGAGTCCTCGCATATCCTGCGCCTGTCCCACGGGTCTGAAGCTGATGGCTGACGGCCTTTTGTGCGTGGAGGATCGTAAGTAGATTTTTTACTGTGTTCCTTGGGAATTTCACGGGGGGATTTTGTAATTGCATTTGAGCTGTCCGGCTCGATGGGCATGTTCTGCGGTTCAGCTGACCAAAGGCGACCAACAGAAGCGTGGAGATACAGGGAGCTTCCCTGTTGCGGTTGCGGTCTTTTAAGTGGCCTTCTGCACTGCGCATTTCATTGAATTGCATTTTCCCCTTTTCGGATCTCATTATTTCAATAAAATTACCTTTTGCTTGTAGGGCGTATCCCTAGTGTGCATCCCACTGCACCGATCCATCGGACGACAGAACAGTCGTCCATCTCAACTACAAAACTACCTCAAGATGCGTACAGTGAAGCGCCGGGTATGCGACACTATTCTACGAAAAATATGGTGGTGGTTTTGTAGGGTTAAGAGGGGTTCGAAAATATCCAATAAAAATAAATATTACAATTGATAATATGAATCAAAGCGTAATACTCATCAAATGTTTGAAATGTTGAATCAACATTGTTTTTTTTATATTACTGTTTTTGATACTTTTAAATCAGTATTTGTGTTGGAAAATTTTAGATTTTGTTTTTTTTTTGTATCTAGAATAAAAATATTGAGTTTAATTAACATTTTACTTTGCGTTGCAGAAACAAAAACAGATACAAGTACTAAAGCGTTCTAACACAAACATTTATTTAATAAACGCTTATTTCAAGAGTGTTATTTAAAATAAGAGATATTTTCGAACCCCAATGCTAAACTAATCGGTGGAGAAGAAACTATGAGAGTTTGGGAAGAATAAAAATCTCCCTTTCATTCTTATTTTTTCTTTCACCGCATAACTGGTGTTGGTTTTATTTAAAATGCTGTTTTTTTGTGCTTGTGTCCTTGTGAACATATTTTTTACCTGCTTTTTTCGTTATTTTAATTTCGCTTGTCGTTATATGCGACAATTTCTCGAGCAACATTTACACAGACATATAGCCATCGTCATCATCATAAATCAACATCAATGATATCGACGTAATCACTCAAAATGCACACCCCAACACACAAGAACTTTGGCCCAAATACACATGCAAAATGCGAAAAGCAAAACATAAATATTGGGTTCACACACTGTGCAAAAACCGCAAAAGGGAAGCATTGGTGACATGTTTAATGGCAACGGGACCACCCAAATCCCTCCGACTCCCCCATCCGACTTATATCCAGCACTTACCCGGGTCGGGAGTCCTGGACCCGGGCGAATTTCTCCATGCAATTTGCGAACTGCTCTCTGACAGAGTGACATGGATTCGGATGGGAACGAAATGATGAACGGCTGACAACCGCAACGGCAGCAGCAAGGATATTTCAGCGGCCGTCGTCAACAAATCGCCATGAAATTAAATTGTACATAAGCAACAGCAACCGAAGCGCCAACACACCGAGTGATATGGAGCTTGGCAAATAGTTTTAACCAGAAATTCGTCATCGCCAGAGCTATCATCATCATCATCATCATCCTCCCAGCAAATTGGCACTGTCGACACCCCGAACTGTTGACGTTTGGGCGAGATATTTTCAAAAGTGAATTACCCCCATATAGCCGGTGGTTTAGCCCTAAAAAAATACCGGACCACAAAGCCCATTTCTCTTAGTTTTCCATGGGTGTTGCCTCTGTTGCATCCAGTGCCGTTTTCATCCGTTTCGTATCTATTGATTTAAATTAGAATTTTTGGGTGCTTTGTCTAAATGCCGTATCATTATTTTTAATAAACCCACATTCACCATACGCACTTTGATCAATGGAAACGCGAAATTGAACAGCCCTCCAATATTAAAATCCAGCCCAGGCGGCATAAAGAAAGATATTTTGCTGTAGCAACAGAATTTATGCCAGCTTTGTTCTAGTGAATAAATAAGGCCAATAAAGAGTATTTGGCTTAAATCCGTATCCTTGGGCAAATTTTGTTTCATGTGCATTCGCTTGATGGAAATTTGTGAAATGATTATGGTAGATGGGAGTAAATCCGAAACCATTTTAAATTATTAAAAATTATTTTAGTTCTTTACAAAATTTTTGTAATTTGTATTTAACATTAATGATTAAAATTGATACGTGCTTTGTTAAAGAGTAAAAGATATAACATAATATTCCTTAAACAAAAGTTCAGGTCACTTTAAATTTGTATTTATATAATTTGAAACGATTCTAAATACTCTTTATAATATGCAATTAGAGAAGCAAATTAGCCGCCCTCCACAGAGGCAAAATAAATCCCCTATTCTCTGAGATTTCTTTTTAAGTCTCAGCCATTGCCAGTCGTTATCCTCTTTAGTTGCTCGTCCGGCTTATAAGTGAAAAGTGGGCAAACTTCCGGAAGCTTTAAAACGTTGTCATGCCTACGGGGTGTAATCAAGTTTCCTTGGAAAACTTAGCGAGAAGCCCACACAATTGTGCCTAATTACGCCAATTTAAAGAAGTCAAAGTGGCGGACTTTGCAGACGAGTCCTGGGTCGAAGGTCGAGGACTCTGACGAAGCTGCAACATATTTGCGGCCAAAGAATGACGACAACGAAGGCTTAAACAAAGTGAGCTCGGACCAAGTTGGCAGAAGCGCGGGCCAGTAAATAACTATAAACTAGTTAGGGACCATTTCAATTAGATGGTCCAGCCCTGCCAATGATGATGACGCCCGTCCGGCCGGCATAACTGCAATTTCAATTAGCGGTTTGTGCTACTTTTTCTATGGCCATCTTTGCCCACTTCAAATTGCTTAATTAAGCGCAGGCAAAGTTTCGCAAATATCCCAGAGACACACAGAGAAGGGGAGCAAAATCCAGTTGGACAGACCCCTCAGTAACCATAAACTTTGAGCCGTCGAAGTAACGACTGCGTTTTTAATAGCCAACCACATAAAATGGAGCTCACTGCGGGAAAAAGCGGGGAAAATCGGGGAAAAGCGAGGAAAAGACAGTGTGAAAAACTGGGTGAACAGCTGCTGCTGCTCCTTGCAGCATTTTATGACTTTCATTTGGCTGCACTTCGGTCAGTCCGGCAATTGTTATTGCCCGCCTCTAACTTTACTGCATATTGCCTCCGATGTGAAGACAACAATGGAGGTCAAAAATACGAGAAACATGGTAGCAAAGCCGCCATTTTGTTTATTTGCATGCCACACCATTTTTGACTTCCTATGTTTTTTGGTTTTTATAAACTTTTAAACTTTTTTTTTCGGTTTATCTAATCTGTTTACATCCCCTTCTCGGAACCCAAAACAGGTGACGGAACATATTTTATGCGTTTTTATTTCATTTGGGAAGGAAATTTGTGGCACGGCAGCCATTTTGTCGTACTTTTTATGGCACTTCCGTTGGCCGGGGATCGAGGGGTTCCGAGCACCGGCTATGCGTTATCCTGAGTTGGAGTTTCGGAATAAATATGAGAACACATGTGCGGGATTATACAAATGGGCGATGAGGCATAACTCTCTGTTATATATCCGAATGTTTGCACGTCGGTGTGTGTGCGAAGGACGGAAATTGCATTTCATACAGATTAGGAGTGCGCCATAATAAATGACATTTATAGGCAAGCATAAAACTTCCTGACAGAGGAGTGGCAGTTACCGATTTGCAAATGCTAATTTTGTAAAGCAATTTTCTAAAGATATAAATTAATCTTTTCCAAATGTATATAATATTTTTTTAAAATTAAAGTTATAATACCAATTGGAATTTAAATTTCTCAGTAAACACATTGAAAATAAAAAAAATGCGATCGGACTATCCTAAATAAAAGCGAATTTTTAAAATAATCCTGAAATGATCTTAAAAATATTTATAATTTAAGCTTTAGTAAGGTGACAGCCCAGGGCTAACGAAAAACAACTTAGCCGCCTGCAAAAAGTTTTAAAAAAATGTTAAAACCAACAGCTGCTGACAATTTGTTGGCCTAAACCGAAATAAAATCGTTGGATAAATATGCCACAGCAACGTGCAACTTTTTAGATGTTTGCCCCTCATTTGACTGTCTGTTAATGCCGCCGAAATAAATTTGCAGCATCTTAACGCGCCTACGCCAAAATTCCCCCGAATCGATGCCGCACATCTGTTGCCGCTATCAACTTTTAATGATAATTTCCCGTCCAAATCCAAAACGAGGCCTTTGGACACTCGAAGAGCAAAAATTAATATCAAAAACAGAAGTGGGAATGTTTGGGCGGAAAACTGGGATTTATTTCGCGGGGTGAAAATGGGCGAATCTTGAGGACGCGCTAAAAGCGCGGCATATCCTTTGCCAGACGAACGCGTGCCTCCTACTCTTAACTTTGTGCGCTTTTTTCTGCTGTTGAACAAATTCTAAACGGAAAAATATGAAAACGAATTATGATGACAGCGGAAAAATCCTACAACTTCCTGCCACCACAACAGCAAAACGGCAGAGAATAAAAACGCACAGAAGCCAACAGCAAAACCAGGGAAACCCCATAAGCGGAAACATTCGCCACGGGATGTAGTCGTCGTCGACGACTTCTCTGTTTTTTTTGCCCATTGCCAAGCTCCCAGAAAGACAACATTTTAATTATATTTGGCCATAGGAATTATGAAATTATGGGAAAACGCTGAAGAGCTCTGGAAGGAATATTTTATGAATATTGTACGAGGATGCCTTTGAAATTCGAATTTATGAAAGTTGCACAGGCAGTTTTATTTTTATTGTTAAGTTAATGAATTACAAAAATGGGTGTCTGGTTTTATATTAATGTATTCGTTTAAATCAATAGTTAATATAATTTTCATCATTTTATAACAGGCTTTGAAATGGATTGCGGAACATATTAAATATTTAAAATAGTAAAACTCTCTAATAATTATATCGCATTATTTTTTGTAATTAGCCTTATTTTCTAACTTTCTAAATCTTTCTTATATTTTTGTACCAAACAGTTGAAGAAACAACAGGCGTCAATGGCACAGTCCCATCTGACAATGCCGATGGGTCTGCCAAAAAGTCAGAGAAAGACTATGGCCAAATAGCCTGGATTGTGATAGCCAGTCTAACCAGCATTGCCATAGTAGCTTGCGTAAGTTTTATACATTTGTGTACTTAATAAACGATTAATTAACTAATAATTTAATAACAATTCACAGGGGATCTTTGTCGTATACCGACGCTGTACGCGGGCGGTGAACTCAATTAACTTTGAGAATCCCGTCTACCACAAGACGACGGAGGATCACTTCAGTCTGGAAAAGAACGTGACGCCGCATATGTACGCCACTGCCCAGGAGGAGGAGGTAAGCGGGTCGGCACCACAGATGGCCACAAATCCCAACGACTTTAGTTATGTCAGATTCTAGGAGATCTTAGGTGCTAAGTTAATGTTGTACATAGATGGCTAAGTGCTCGTATCATAGTTGTATTTAGGGCTAAGTAAGTTGATCCAAACAGTAGATAGACAATTAAGAATAGTTATAAGTCCTGAAATAGTTGTGAACGTAGCAAGTTTTTAGATTTCGGCTTCTTTTTAACCAAATCCGTTTCTCCAACTATTTCATTTTAAATGCCGCGAGCCACGAAACCGCGATCCCAATTCACATATTAAAAACGGTAAGTTGTGGTTCTAAAATCCATTTTAGACCATTATTGGCGCATAATATTACATAATTGGTGCCTAGTGTTTATAATTCAATTATCTTTTTATTGCTTTTTAATATATTTTAATTTAATTTACCGTCGATTTGGGCATTTTTTCCCCCCCATTAAATGCGTGCTCTTTGAATTGGCGGCCCGTGGGTCTTGCTAATTGCAGAGTTGCAATCGAAATGTGCATATCAATTGGCCAATTAACTAAAAGGCCAATTAAATGGCGTCAGTGGAGCGTCAAAATGTCCCACAGCCCGACACATGCCCAACTAGAACATAAAGAACTCAAATTGCCAGGACATTTTAGTAAAATATTTCAATTAAATTAGCTTTTTTCTACCTTGACGCATTTTGCAGCTGCTTCGTTGCCAATTTTAATTAAAGCGGTTAATTAATACATAAAAAATAAGACAAATCCATGCGGAAGCCGACAACAATGCAGAACAATAATTACGGAAAATTAAACAAAATGGAATTAAAAGAGATTTTCTGTTTGCCTGCCATGGCCACCAATAAATAACATAAAAATTTGCATATAAGCAAATTCGTTTGGTGCAAATTCAGACCACAAGCTTAGCGGTCTGTTGTTTTCATTAAGGTTGATAATTAAATTTCCTAATTTCAAAAGTGTTGTTGGCAAATCTCTTTTTCGTTAGTATTTAGCTGTGATTAACATTCGCAAAACATTTTTACGAAAAGTTTAGTTTAAAGCGAACTTAACCTTTTTTACAGTTAATTAATTTTTTCTGTCGCGCTAAGCTGTGATAATCATTTTTTTAAATTATTGAAAACTTTTGCCTAGGCATATCGCTTATCAACTTTTTGGTTTATTTTAAAAGCAATAAAAAATTTGAGTCATAAAACTAATAGTAAATGTGTTTTTAACTACGTGTTTTTGTACGTTTTTATAGCAATAGTTAATTTGTAGTTTTATTAATTTTTTTATTAGTTCTTTTTATGTCTTATTCTGACAGAGTTTATATTAATAAATAATTTATTTGTTTAGAATTTACTTTACTCATTTTTGTACAATAATACTTTTAACTATAACTAACGAAATACTTTATTTTTTAATCCATTTAGTCTGCCAATCCCCTCTTTGAACCGGGCACCCAATGTGTCTAAGGCACCGCCAAAGATCCACTTAAATGCATATCCAGCAAATGAAAACCGGTAGACCAATAAAAACTATGAAGTATCTCCTACTAGCAATTCCTTTTTGGACCAAGGCCCCAAGAACTCAACTAAAAGTGAATGTTCAATGAGAGAAATGCTACAAAAATGCTAGCAGTAAGAAATAAAGAATGCCAAAAAGAAAAAATAGTAAAGACAAGAGCGACATAAGAATGGGGAAAATGAAAATACTCAACAAATCTAATTTGTTGCCTAGTTTAAAATTTAATTTAAATATATCAACACTAAACACACAGACATACCCGCACACAGTTACACTCACACGCCCATAAACTAATAACAACGAAAAACTTTTCTAGGCGCAACGTTTTGACATCAACTAACGTCGCTCCACACAAACACACACACACATCAACGCATATCCTACCACCCACAATAACACCCACTCACACACACACACAAAAGCCCAGAAGAACTCAGAGAAGAGCGAGCCAGGATTCAGAGCCAGAAGTCGAACTTTCCTTTCACGTCCATGAAATCAATTGTAAAAAGTTAAGACATTTCGTTAAAGTTTTGTACTGAAGGAAACAAAAAAAAAACAGCTAAACTGAAACTGTTTATAGATCTAAACAATTATTGTGACTAGCTATTATATATTTTTGTTATCGATGAATTAATTAAAAACAGTCTTGAAAGTAAAATTTGTGGCTCCAAGTTGGATTAATATTTTAGCAAAATATTTGAACAAAACATCTCTGTAAATACATAGAAAATACAACTAAATAAAAACAACAAAATTTAGAAAAAATTTAAAAGACATATTTACAATTTTAGAGTGGTTAAAATTTGATTACCCATATACTTTGCTCCGTTTTCGTTCTTGAGTATTTTAAACAATTTGCTGTGATCAGTTTAAAAGCATTAAACCTACATAGAAATCATCTAATTTTTAGTAAGTTTAATATTCCTCTCATTTAATTTAATGTGTAAACAATCTTTCAAATATTTTTATTTATTTACAAATTTTACTCAACGACAAACAATTTTCTGTGTATTGGCAATATTTGGTTCCTGTAAAATATATTTTAATTTAGGCATGAAAAGTATTTGCAAGAATGCTTTTTTGAAAACAAAATATAAATTAACTATAAATGGTATGTGTGAAAAGTTGAGTAAACAAATTTATAAAACCTAGTAATAAAAAAAATTAATAAAGAAAAAATGTAAATTAAAGTTCATTCAGAAAAATAAAATGGAATTTTAAAACATGGAAAACGTGTAAAAATGAGTTTTACTTTGTATGTTAGAAATGTAGGAAGGAGTAATTGCAATTAAGTTTAATGGGAAAAGTGCTGAGTTTTCTAGTTTTGTGCACTATAATAGATATTTTCTTAATCTCAAATAGCAAGAAAATCATTTTCTGTAACTGAATTGTGTTCAGGAGATTATTAATAAACTGTTTAGAATTACCAATCAACTGTAAGCGATTAGTTCATCTGAATTATCACGGCAATGATAATCGAAGTGAGCACCAAACATTGTTGGTCCGTCATGCCAGGCAATATCGAGAAGCTAATCGGGTTCACACATTGTGCCTGATTCCTGAACCTAATAGCCTCAACGCCAACACAGTTTTGCCTTTTGTTGGCTCACAGCCACACATCTACATGGAAACAGACACGCATCCATGAATTATTAAATGCTAATGGACAACTACGGCAATTATTTCACATGAGAGGGCATCAATACGTAATGAGCTCCGTCCGGAGACCATTTGAGGTCAAAGTTTGAGGCACCCAGTGAACAGATTGAACAGTCATTAGGGGGGTTTTTCGACTAGATAGTATCAAAGCATTGACAGGTTTTAATTTCATCCCCAACCGGTTATCGAGCCCCCACGTTTAACAGGCTCCAACTTTTGCCTGCCTAATTTATGACCGAGAATTATCGGTGGGTGAAAGTCCGACGCAGCGATTTTCGGTGAATAAATAAGATTTTTATGCCTTTCGGGTGTCTTTAATGTTATAATTTATGTAGCGCGCCTCGAAGCAGGCCACATTATTTTTGTTTATTGCTTGCAGGACAACCGGCTGTCATCGAAATTTCAACGTATTGTGAGCGGATTTCGGCTGCCACATCGATTTGAATCGATTATCCGGCGCGGCTCACGTTTGCCATGAAAATAAAATGTAAATAAAAGGCGACAGCGACACATTTGACACACGGCACCGATAACTTTTTCAATTTAGATATGATCCCGAAAGTATGTCGGGGAACTGCTCGGCTAATCCCCCAGCCAATGTCAGGTGTATTCGGTGGATGGGGGAGGCTCCTCTGCATTAGCAATATGCGACCAAATGGCAAAACACTGTTCCTTGGCGCCCCGCAGATCCCTCGCCCAAACAAAGTGAAATCCACGAGAAAAGGGATTCCCCCTTTTTGCACATAAAGGCGCACGGAATAAGCGACTCAGTGTGAGTGTGTGCGTAAAGAAAGGGGCGCCGGAGGATGAAAATCTGCAATTCAGCCGGAACATAGCATACATTTTGTCGTTTTGCCAGCCGCAGGCGGCCACCAAACAAAAAACCCCTCACACAATGTCGTACACAGTGAAAAAATTACACAATTTTTTTATTAATTCTTTAAAAAAATAGCGTCGAGTGTAACAACAATATCATAAATTAACATTGAAAGTTTCTTGATTTCCCTTTAATTGTTTAAATCCTAATTAAATGCCTAAAGGGGTAAACTAGCTTTCAAAATAAAATTGCCAGCTTTGCCTAACTGAAGGTAAATTCAGCTAAACATACTTTTATTTATCATATATAATTTACCCGATGGAATTATAATTACAAATATTTGAGAATTTTGTATAGCTTATTTAAAGATGTTCAAGGGTACTTCCCCTTTGAGTTTAAGACGAAATAGTGGCAAAGAGTGATAGACTTAATTAAATAGAAAGTTACATTTTTTTCTTCGAGTGTCAGCCAAAAGCCAATGAGACTCGGCAGTTGGGCAAAAGAAATAGGACGAGGAAACGTGGCCAGAATTGTGTGTGGCTCGAAGGGATGGGGATCGGGGTGGGATGCATCTGAGCGACAACTTTGTGCAACTCCTGATGCAGGAAACATGGCTGTCATTGGTCACGCTGCCACCACTGTACTTTGTTAGCGATGCGCAACCAACGATAACTTTGCTGAACAATATCTTTCGTTCTCGGTTTTTTTCGCCTCTCTGTTGGGCTTGTGTGCTTTGTCAAAAGGAACTGCAAACGCAATTGCATTTCACGTTCGGATGAGATGAAAATTTGACGTCAAAAACTGTTTCTACTGTGGAAGTTTAGTTGGCGATTTCTACACTTGGAAAAACTCGCCGCTCCCAATTTAAAAGCGATCTTCCTTGATTTTAAATAGGTCCTGTTTTAGGAATGTTTGGTATGTTCGTATTTAAATCAAGAAAAAATTGTTTTTAGAACCTAAAACATCTTAAAAAGGACTTGATTCAAATGCAAAACTCTCAAAGTAAAAGTAATTTAAGAAAAATAGATTTTCGAAATTTAATGATCATAGCAAATAAAAAACTACTTTACACTAAACAATAAAAGTACTTATTTTTAGGAAAAATTCTTAAGTCAAGGTTAGACTGTACTTAACTGGGGTAGTAAAATTGGTTGTCTATTATGTTCAAATCAGCCTCTTCATAGATCCGTAAATTGATATATTTTAGTATTAAGCAGTTTTTGTAAAGGGTTTTTATTTAACTATAGTAATGACGATTGGAGACTGAGATATTGTTAGACAGATCTAATATTCCGATAAACTATGCCCAAAAACTAGTTAATTTTAAATTTAGCTAAAGTTTTAATGCGATTTGATAAGTAATAAAAAAAGTATGTTTTAAGACTGATTTCAGAACGGTGACATTAGCTTTAGCTTGAACAATTTATGAGCCGAACCGCACTGATTTTGCAGGGACTGTACCTGTCCGCATTCGGTTATCGAGAATTTCAACTGGGGGAACTTTAATTAGAAGCCAAAACTTCACTGGCCTCCCCGCCGATTCCATGGCATCCGAAAGGACCTCGCCATGTTTGCATTTGTAGTTGTTGTTGTTGACGATGTTGTCGTTGTTGTTATTATAGCTGGGTTATCCTGGGGCCAATTGCATGGCACATGCACACAAGGTTAGTAGGCAAGTTCACAAGCCAAATATGCTGTGCGTATGCCATGGAATGTAGAGTGGGTGGTGCAGTGGGTGTGGCAGTGGGCGGTGCAGTGGACGGTGCAGTCAGTGGTGCAGTCGTTGGTGTAGTGGGTGGTCTAGGGAGTGGTGTAGTGGGCGGTGCAGTAGGGTTTGTAGTAGCTGGATTGCTAGGAGGAGGCGCCACTGTAGGCACTGCGTCTTACACGCAGGACGACGTTGTTGGCTTGTCGGTCGAGTTGTTTGCACCACGTCCTGAATAATGGATACGTTTCGTGCCACATTGAATGCCCAGCAGTGAGTGACATTGGCCGACGAATACTCGGGGTTTTTCGGGGGGCATGTTTTCGGAATTGTTAATGTAATTACGCCTGAGAGCCCACTGTTACCACCTTTTCGGGGGGCTAATCAAAGGCAAAGTCGATAAGCATGTGGGATTTTAAAATGCAGCCAGCAAATTTGCCTAATTGCCATGCGGCTAATCATGTGACGAATTCTTAAGTCTTCGAGTTTTCTCATACCCCTACATTACGGGCTGAAATAACTTTGCAGACAGTTGTTGAGCGCGAGAAAAATTCATCAACTTCAAGTTGAAATAAGCCCAAAAAAACAGAAGACAAAACAAGGACAACGGGAGGCTGTAAGCCGCTTTTGTTTGCCATGATAAAATGGTTACAAAATGGCGGCAGCTGACTTCACACAGTGTGCATGTGCGTGTGTGTGGGTGTGAGTGCATGTGGCACACACACTCCAACCCCGATTCCTTTGGCCTTGGCGCAAAACTGTCGTCTGTCTTCTGCTCTGCGTGTGTGGCTTAAATTTCACTTTTTTATGCGGTGCGCTGGAAAAGTTGTGCGATTTCCTTCCCTGACCTTGTCCCAGGGTAAATTACTTTCGCGCAAAGGTTGCCACTGCAGGGAGCGAGGAAAATTGATGCTGCATCACAATGTAAAAAAGTTTTCATGAAAACGGGGTAATTTGGTAGGAGCGAGCAATGTTATCCTTGAAAACAGCCTTACAAATTAATTTATAAAGGCCAACATTTTTTCATTAAATTCATGTTCAAACTGCAAAAATGGTTATCATTTAAGTACTTAAGCAAATGTAATATTTTTTTTCCTAGGATTTCTTATAAATAAAATGGACATCATTAATATTTTATAATTATATTAAATTAGCAATATTATTACATTTCTTTTCTATTGTTACCTTTACTTTTTATTTACCTTTTTACCAATCAAACAAATTTATGACCCTAATATACATTATTCGAGTTTCAACTTTTAAACTAAATAAAAGAGTTAAGTATTCAAGTGGCTAAACTGTGCAAAACTATTGTTCTCTATTAAAATATTATATTTTATATAATAATTCCAGTGCGCCTTTCGGCTTGTTTGCAAATTTTCAACTTGAAACGCCAGCACCAGATGACGACGGGATTTCTTTTCGCGTTTTCCATTTCTTGAAGCGAAAGCAAAGGGAAAGCGAAAAGTTCATATTGCGGTTGGCAGCAGATTGCATTATGTGTGGGTGTGGGTGTGCGTGGTGTGCCCGCCATTTTGTTAACATGGTAACTAGTGTGCGTGACACGATACACAATGCGATGAC